ACGCAGCTAAATCTTGTTCCGAGACAAGACAGACTCCCGCAGTGCGGATCGATTATTCCACCTAGCGCCTACTTTCGTGCGCGGAGCAGCTTCACGTCCTGCCTTCCGCTCCTTCCCCGCATGCATCGGGTATCGCTCTCCAGCCTTCCCTCGACACTTTTAAAGCAGAGGTCCTCAATGCGGTGCCTGCCGACACTTTTCTCGGCCCCTGCCAAGCGTTTTTATAAAGTGGGCAGGACCCAGTGGGGCTTTTGCCCACCAAGGCCTCTGATTGGCTACTGAAGATTTTTAAAAAAATTTAAAAAAACACCACTGCTTTGGCAACTGCCGCCATGGCACAAGAATCTTTACTTTGGGACTGAGGTCAGCCGCGGCAGCCATTTTGTGGCTGGCTCTGCCCGCCATGCTGTGTTGGGATTCGCCCCCAGGCTCAAAAAGGTTGGGGACCCCTGTTCTAAAGTGGCTGATCTGAAGATTCTCTAAAGTTAACAAACGTAAGGAGAAAAGAGCCCTGCTGGATCAGACCAGTGGTCTATCTAGCCCAGCGCATCCTGTCTCACCCAGTGGCCAACCAGTTCCTCTGGAGGGCCAACAGCAGGACACAGAGGCTGAGGCCTTCTCCTAGTGTTGCCTCCTGGCTCTGGGATTCAGAAGTTGACTGCCTCTGAACGTGGAGGTTCCCTTTAGTCCCCACAGCTAGCAGCCACTGACAGACCTCTCCTCCATGAATCAGTCTAATCCCCTTTTAAAGCTTTCTGTGCCTGTGGCCATCACTACATCCTCTGGCAGCAAATTCAACATTGTCATCACTCATTGGGTACGTTCAGACGGGGCGTTTCTGCCGGCATAAACTGTACCGGTTGGAATCGGTGCAGTTTATGCCGGCAGGAACGCGATCACACTCACCTCCCTCACAGCGGAAGCCATCGCAATACGCCCGTCCACCACACTCGTCTTCGGTTGTTGTTTTTTACTTAGTTTGCGCATGCGCATAGGCAGCCATCCATAGAATGGCAATCTTCGCGCATGCGCAAAAAACCCTGTCGTACATTTAAACTTTAAAGGTAAGGACTTACCTTTAAAGTTTAAAGAGCACAGTAGCCTCCCAGAGGTCCCGGACGCCTCCGAAACGCTACAGTAAGACCCTTTTCTTTTTTATATATACAAACGGCAGGGCGAAGCTTCGCCCAAGCGCATATCGCTGTCCTTAAAAAAAAACGGCAGGCGGAAAACGGAAACCACCGGCTTTCGAATGGAAATGTGCAACGGTGGAGAGCGATCAGACGGCGAGGTACAGCGTTTACAACCGTTGCACTCAGGATACCACCACTTGGGGACCTAGTGGCAGAGTGCAACGGTGTAAAGGGCTTTACACCGGTTAGGGACAGGAGGCAGATGTTCGCCGTCTGAACGCCGGTGAGTACAATGATTGCAACCGGCACCTATACCGATGTAAAGCCCCCGTCTGAACGCACCCATTGAGTAAAGAAACATTTCTTTTTATCCTTCCAAAATTTGCTGCCCATCAGCTTCTCTGGATGCCCTCAAGTTCCAGTCATTCGGGGAGAAGAAGAAAAAGTTCTCTCTGCTTTTCTTCCCAAAGATTCTTGAGACACTGTTGGAGAGGCCAGCTCTGATATCTGAAAATGGGGCAGTGGGTGGGTGGGCGCGTGTGGATGTTAGCATAGTCACCTCTACCAAAGGATTCTCAGCTTCCTCACCAAACTACAATTCTCAGAATTTGGTGGAGGGAATGTCACGATAGTTAAAGTGGTCGAAAACCGATCCAGCCAGTGTGCTGTAGAGGTCAGGGTGTCAGACAAGGTTTGGGGGAGGCCCAGATTCGAATCCCAACTCTGCCCCATAGAAGGCTCACTGGGTGACTTTGGTCCAGTCATTGTCTCTCAGCCTAGCCTCCCTCACAGGGTGGTGGTTGTGAGAAAAACAAGAGGAGGAGACGACGACGTTGTCAATGAGTGTAAATACATCGCAGTGTTCCTGACGTGATCGGCGATGCCCGAGGTGTCAAGAAACTGAGTTCCCAGCGTAGGTTCTTGTTCTGTGCTAAACACTGGTTCAGGCTTTGTTCTGATCGCTAGGCCTGAACGTAACTTCAAATGGGAAACAACGGTGAAGATTCAGCAAGCCAATGAGTGTAAATATGTCGCAGTGTTCCTGACGTGATCGGCGATGCCCGAGGTGTCAAGAAACTGAGTTCCCAGCGTAGGTTCTTGTTCTGTGCTAAACACTGGTTCAGGCTTTGTTCTGATCGCTAGGCCTGAACGTAACTTCAAATGGAAAACAACGGTGAAGATTCAGCAGGCTGACCTCATGATACGAGATAACATTCCAGGTGCAATAGGTAGAGCAGTGCTTATCTCTGCCTCCCTCTTTGTTCCCAAGATTAGAGCTATGGCGCCCTAGCAACCAATTAGCTGCATTCCATTTAATTAGAGTCATGAGCTACACCTGTTAGAGCTGCAGATCGCCAGTTCATCTTAGCTAGACCCCCTTCAGGTCATATGCCAAGTAACAAGGTTACATCAATTTGACATCCTCTGCTAGGGATCTAATTGGTCTAAGGGCCCCGGACCACGCTGGATCTTTGACCATAAAGTTTAGCCTGTTCAATCTGTTGCTAGCTTGTAATCACACGTGGCTACCTTGCTCACTGGATTTGGGGATGCGCTACTCATGGTTCCTTAACACCATCTTGAGTGCTTGCTTGCTATGGGCAAGGCACCCTGCCGGTCCAGTGCTGACTCTGGACAGAGTGGTCTTTTGAACACTGAATGTCTTTAGTGAAGAAGGAGGAGGAGGAGACTGGATTTATACCCCACCCTTCTCTGCCCAAAGGAGTCTCAGAGCGGCTTACAAACCCACAACAGACACCCTTGTGAGGTAGGTGGGGCTGAGAGCGCTCTGATAGAAACGGCTCTTTTTCAAGGACAGCTCTTGTCAGAACTATGGCTTGCCCAAGGTCATCCAGCAGGTGCAAGTGGAGGAGTGGGGAATCAAACCCGGTTCTCCCAGATTAGAGTCCGCGCACTTAACCACTACACCGAACTAGTTCTGGTCATTTTGAACCAATGTCTTACTGTGTAGCTAGTCTCTTGAATTTAGCTCTGTCATTTTGATTCCTCACTGCAATTTTTTTTTTTTTAGTATTCTTGCACACTTTTAATAAATCCTTTTAATCACATTTGTGGTGTGTTGTTCCTGAGGTGGCTTCTACCTGAATCCAGTAGCTAGACCAGGTTAATTGTTTTGTGGAAACGCCTTCTGCAAGAGGCCTACCTTACAGGGTTGACTTTCTTGTTTAGTCCCAGAAACATTAGAAGTTTGCCCCCTTTGGCTTCTGGTGGCAGCTACTAAGACTGGTGAGTGTGTGTGTGTACTCACACACCCAAGGTTTTGTAATTTTGCGTTCTACAGGCCCTTACCAGCAATCCCTTTGACTAGTAAAGGGCTAACTTGTATCGTTTGCCAACGGGTTTCATGCTGGTTTCAGTTCAAATCAAACTAAGCCTGCTCCCACAACACACACATCCTATTTAGCCGTGCAGTCCTGACTAGTCTGAGTAAGTAGTTACAATTAAATTATCGTATGGTATTGTTTGTGGAATAGCCAGGAGATCCCGAAAGATTATTTAGCTGCCTGAAGCTGTAGCTCTTTTTGGGCACCACTAGGTGGCGAGCTATGATTATTTTTAGGCTGAGAGTGCTGTGACTTGCCTAAAGTCACACAGCTGGCTTCAAGTGGAGGAGTGGGGAAATCGAACCCAGTTCTCCAGATTAGAGTCTGCCGCTCTTAACCACGACACCAGGCTGGCTCTTGAGTAAGTAGTGTCCAGATCCTCACGCGGGCATCTCTTTTCTAGAACCAGGCTTTCTAAAATGGGGTGCAAAGACTTTGGAGGAGAAAAATATTAGCTTTCTGGCCTCTCACCAGTTTGCTGCTCAGACAGCGGGACCAGGCGATACACCTTGTAGGGCTCTGGGATATCCAGCCTGGCGCGCGATGGCATCTCCTCGAACTCAGGACTCTTAGCCAAGGCACAGCGGATACGGGTCTTGCAGACGGCAGGATCGAAGCGTTCCCCTGGGTGGTACTTTCCTTTAAAGATGGCCCAAGCCTGAGAAGAGATTAGGTCTTATTCTCAGTGTGTCTGGACTGACGGCCCCGTGGGAATACTCCCGTGGCCAAATGCTTCTCTATAGCCTGTACTGATGAGCACCAGCTCCAGGAACTGGGAATTTCATAAACTCCAATCTCCAGTATGGTTTTGCTCCCCCCTATTCCAACCCAGGAGTTGCGGTGGCTTAAGTGGTTAAGACGCTGAACTGCAGGCTGTGGAAGGTCGGTAGGTCAGCAGTTCGAGACCCGAGTGTGCCGCATGACGGAGTGAGCTCCCGTCTCTAGTTCCAGCTCCTGCCAACCTAGCAGTTCGAAAGCAAGAAATTGCAAGTAGATAAATAGGTACCACTTCGGTGGGAAGGTAGCTCCGTGCGCCTTGGTGTTTAGTCATGCCGGCCACATGACCACGGAAACGTCTTCAGACACCGCTGGCTCTTCGGCTTTGAAACGGAGATGAGCACCGCAACCCTAGAGTCGGATTCGACTGGCTTTCGAGCAAGGGAACCTTTACCTTTACCTATTCCAACCCACTTCAACTTTTGATGGAAAACACGAGATTTAGGCCCAGTTCCCACGGAACGACCGAAACGTGGTCTGGCCACCTCTACCCAAACCCTCTGTTCCTCCACACGCTCAGATTCCCTTGCTTACTTCGATTTTCCACAGGCAAACCTTAGTTTGCTGCTGCATGTGAACTCAGCAACTGGAACAGAGAACTGTAAACCTTGCATTAACTGTAGTTTGCAGTTCTGGTTTCTGGGCAAACTTGGGTTTCCTGACGCACAGGAAGAGAGCAGTGAGGAGGGAACACCGGCATGTCTCCCACCCCCTAGTTTGGACGATCGACAAAGGGCGATTCTGCACCGGCTTTTCCCTCTGCTGTTTTACCAAACCCACCTTGGAACAGAAATTCCCCTCTATTGCATGCCGCTTTCACCTTCTTTGATCATCGGATTTTATGGTACCCTCTACACTGTATGCCGCTTTCACTTTCTTTGATTATCGGATTTTATGGTACCCTCTACACTGCATGCCGCTTTCACTTTCTTTGATCATCGGATTTTATGGTACCCTCTACACTGCATGCCGCTTTCACTTTCTTTGATCATCGGATTTTATGGTACCCTCTACACTGCATGCCGCTTTCACTTTCTTTGATCATCAGATTTTATGGTACCCTCTACACTGCATGCCGCTTTCACTTTCTTTGATCATCAGATTTTATGGTTCCCTCTCCCCTGCATACCGCTTTCACTTTCTTTGACCATCAGATTTTATGGTACCCTCTACACTGCATGCCGCTTTCACTTTCTTTGATCATCAGATTTTATGGTACCCTCTACACTGCATGCCGCTTTCACTTTCTTTGATCATCAGATTTTATGGTTCCCTCTCCCCTGCATACCGCTTTCACTTTCTTTGACCATCAGATTTTATGGTACCCTCTACACTGCATGCCGCTTTCACTTTCTTTGATCATCAGATTTTATGGTACCCTCTACACTGCATGCCGCTTTCACTTTCTTTGATCATCAGATTTTATGGTTCCCTCTCCCCTGCATACCGCTTTCACTTTCTTTGACCATCAGATTTTATGGTACCCTCTACACTGCATGCCGCTTTCACTTTCTTTGATCATCAGATTTTATGGTACCCTCTACACTGCATGCCGCTTTCACTTTCTTTGATCATCAGATTTTATGGTTCCCTCTCCCCTGCATACCGCTTTCACTTTCTTTGACCATCAGATTTTATGGTACCCTCTACACTGCATGCCGCTTTCACTTTCTTTGATCATCAGATTTTATGGTACCCTCTACACTGCATGCCGCTTTCACTTTCTTTAATCATCAGATTTTATGGTACCCTCTACACTGCATGCCGCTTTCACTTTCTTTGATCATCAGATTTTATGGTACCCTCTACACTGCATGCCGCTTTCACTTTCTTTGATCATCAGATTTTATGGTACCCTCTACACTGCATGCCGCTTTCACTTTCTTTGATCATCAGATTTTGTGGTACCCTCTACACTGCATGCCGCTTTCACTTTCTTTAATCATCAGATTTTGTGGTACTCTCTAA